TGCGGGGGCAAGTGCGTAGAAACACACGCTAAAGAAAACCTCGCGTTGTGTTTCGTCGGTCTTGGGTCTTAGATTTGCTTCTTCGACGCTTCTGCCACTACCTTCAGCGTTACAACAATTCTGCTACGTAGCTGCTCTTTTGCCTAGCTTAATGCCTGTGTTGGGTTGTCCTTCGGGGCATTGCATTGATTTTTCTAGGATGCAATCGTCTGATCGCAGTTTGGATCTTTTCTGGCAGCAGACTGCATCACGCTCTTCGCAAGGCCCGTTCCTGTGGCTCCTAGGCAGATCTGTTGTGCACGTGTGTTGAAGAAATGCACTGACTGCACATGAAATGCAAGGGGTTGGGTCTACGTCCATGAAGGATGGATGAATTGCAGACCTTCAGAATTCACTAGTTCACTTTCTAAAAGGATTAACGTCCTTGTGGGACTTTGCGCGATGACTGTGAGCACGTGAAGCGGCATAGCTGTTGAAGAACAATCGTCTTCCAGGTGTTACCCTAGTTGCGCTCATCACGTGTACTTTTCTCGTTTCTGCTCCTCAGGCTGAACCATCCCAATGTGGTGGCTGCCCGTGACGTCCCTGAAGGGATGCAGAAGCTTGCACCAAATGACTTGCCATTGCTGGCCATGGAGTACTGCCAAGGCGGAGACCTCCGCAAGGTGAGGTCCCTGGGATGGTGACCAAGGGCTGGATCAGTTTCTCAGGTGATCCTAGGGTTTCTATTGAAGTTCCCCTGTAAAACCTCTGTGTCCACATCCTGATGCTTCCTAATTCTTGTCATGGTACCAACAGGTTTTGGTGGGTTGGTCCTTGATATTATGTTCAGCTTGTGAAGACTTAAGCGCTTTCTGAAACTTTTCGTACTTGTTTGGCTGCAAATGACAGCATGTAGAGGATGAGGGCGTGTGTGAGGGATGTGCAACAGGATATGAGTATGAACAAGACCATTGTAGGTCAGGGTACATCTGTGGGCTATACCCTTCTTGATAGTGATTAATTCCTATCTGTTATAGGAAGAAATAACAGATGTTAATTCTAATCTTAATGTTTTTGTAACCTTTCCTATAATCTTCTCATACATAAAAACCAGAGCTTAGAGCTGATACCGCCAGGCACAGGGGAAGTGGCTATAAAGGATGGAGCAAGTAGAAGGAAGAGAATGGGGATGACGCTGACTTGTTTCACCCACTCTTTTTCTCCTCCCATACAGTTAGACCAAGGCCTGAAGCTGTAATTGCTGCTACCGGAGGTCACGATCCCATAGAGTTTTGTGCCTCTAGAGAATTTCATTGCTGTCACTGGAACTTCTGTGTTTGTGAGAGTTTGTGGGACTGTGAGCCTCACTCAGGATACAGGAGGGAAGGACTAAATTCTGCGTTGTTTTCTTGCAGTACCTGAATCAGCTGGAGAATTGCTGCGGCTTGCGGGAAGAAGCTATTCTGATCTTGTTATCTGATATTGGTAAGCGGTAGCAGTACCTTCAGTTGTCTGAACTATGGAAGCCCTTTCAGTGCCAAATTTACTCTAAGGATATGCAATATTGACTTTAATGACTCCATCTTAGACTGACCTTTGAAGAGTATACTTGTTTCCTGTCTTGCTCTGCCAACTGTTCCTGTGGGAGGGCTGACCTTTGATTTTTTTCTTCTTGAAAATGTAGAGACGGATTTTCTTGCTCAGCAAAAATGCCACTTGGGATTTTCTGGGAGGTTCTGGATAGCTGAACACTTGCCAAGTGACTCTGGTTTATGTTGCACATCAGTCTCCATCCTCAGGTTAACAGCTGATGATCTGGACTTCAGAGTGTGTGTGATCAGCAGGTTTCCGTTAGCGTTTGGGCAAACACTATGTGGAATTTTAGACAGTTCTGGTGCAAAGCTGGCCAAGTGCTATCTAGAGGCTTTTGGGGTTGAGTTTTTTGGTCAAGCTATGTTGTGATCTTACTGAGGATCAGCTGAGGCAAAACTGGCCAGGTGCTAAGGCTTTAGAGAGAAGATACTTAAGAATTGCCTTTGGGGCAGATGTATGCTTAGAAAGTGAGCTTGTGGCAAGACAATAAATCTACGTTTGTCATTACTTTTACTGCAGATGTGGCTGTTAGGCATTATCTCCCATCATTTGTGTTCCCAGAGCATTTGTATTCTGCTGCTTCATCCTTGTACTCCTTAGTGACCAGGAAATGATACTGGGTGCTGACCAGAAATGGCAGATTACGTTTAGAGTGAAGTTTGTGTTCACATGCTTGTGTGTGTATGGGAAGAGGCACAAACCCAAATTTTCAATTGTATTATCTGAACTGTAGCTGACAAGAAATATTTTTGACTATTGATATAACTTGTTCTCCTGATCACTTACAGTGCATGCCTAGTTGTTTTTTTTAGGGCTACTGTCCTTCAGGAGACAGACAATTATATTGTTGATAACTCCTGAAAGCCTAGCTGGATATAATTGTGCACTGAATGAGAGAGCTCTGTCTGGGAATGCAGCACTGTCAGAAGGGACATGAAGTCTCAGAGAGCAGAAAAGTGAGTCCCTTTGGCTCAGGCCTGAGTCACGGTGGAAAAGCACAAACAGGAAATGCTGCCAAGTTTTCTTTTTCCTAGCACCGTGATTTTTTTTTTTTTTTATCCACAAGAGGGGAGATATATATTAAGGTATTGCCTTGAGCAAGAGTGAGAAAATAGAGGACATTTATTCTGCCTTTGTGTATTCTTAAGACAAGATTTTTTTGTCTTTCTAGTATAGATAGAATTCATCAGTCTGCCGGTTGTGGGGTCTCAGTGGTTCTGAGCAGAGAAAGTATGTTGCATAGAAATTTCCTGTTAAGAATTTTGCAGGTGAAGTGGAGACAAGAACACCTTGTGGACAGGACAGAACAAAGCATTTGGCAGAGCAGCTTTTGGATTCTAGGTTAAAGCTGTTGAAGAAAGAGATAGGTAAAGAAAAGCTGAATATAGCCACTCGGCTGCCCAGCCAGGGTGTTATCACTGATGAGTTTTTCTATAGGCAATTAGGATAAATTTCTGGATTGGTAGCCCATGTCTTTATGGGAGATTTCAGCTTCCTGGATATCAATGGGAATATTGTACTGCAATATGAGCAGGTCTTGGAAATTCTTGAAGTTTGTGGGAGATAACTTCTTGTCATAAGTACTCAGCCAACTAGGAAAGATGCCCTCCTAGACTTGCTGTTTGTGAATAGAGAAGGACTTGTGGGAGATGTTATGGTAGGTGGCTGTCTTGGCCACAGTGATCATGCAGTGGTTGAGTTTAAAGTTTTCAGTGTAATGAGAAAAAAAGGACAGCAGAGTTGTTACCCTGGAATTCAAGAGAGCAAACCTCAAGATATCAAGGGAGCTGTTTAGCAGAGTACCCCGGGAATCTGCCTTTGAGAGCTTAGGAGTCCACGCGTGCTGGTCGGTTTTTAAGAACTACCTTTTAGAAGCACCGAACAGGCAATTCCAGTGTGTTGTAACTGAAACAAGCGGGGCAGAAGACCAGCTTGACTGAACAGGGAACTCCTCGTGGAGCTCAAAAGGAAAAGAGAAATTGTATGATGTCTGTAAGCAAGGTCAGGCTTCACAGGAAGATTACGGAGCTGTGGTTCATATATGTAGGGAGAAGACATGAAAGGCCAAAGCCTAATTAGAGTTGAAACTGGCCAGTGTTGTGTCAGACAAGAAGGGCTTTTTAAAGTCCACTATTAGCAAGAGGAGGTCTAAAGAAAACATGGGACCAATATTTGTTGAAGATGGTCACCTGACTAATAGGGATGAAGAAAAAGCGGAGGCATGCAATGTGCTTTCCCCCCTGCCCCTCAGTCTTTAATAATACAGATAGACCTTGGGCTGCCCAGTCCCCTGAGTTGGAGGACCATGAGTGCAAGTGACTTTCCATTTGTGGACACTGAAATTGTAAGGGACTGGCTGTATCAGTTGAATGTTCCTAAGTCCATGGGGCCTGATGGGATTCACCCCAGAGTGCTGAAGGAGCTGGCAGAGGTTATGACTGGACCCCTCTTGATTATCTACCAAAGGCCTTGGGAGTCTGGGGAAGTCCCTGCTGACTGGAAGCTAGTCAACGTTATTCCAGTTTACAAGAAGGGTGTGAGGGAGAGCAAACTCGGTGTGTATCCAGAAGTGTTTGACACCGACTTTTCCTCTTGCACTTGGTGTTTCATTGTATGTTTGATTGTACAAGATTTGACCCAAAAGCCGTCCTTCTACTAGGTAGAAATGAATCCTTACTGAGTTCATGTTAGGTACTGTTAGTTACACTCTTACAAGTGGCTTTTTCTGTGTCTTAGCTTCAGCTCTCAGGTACCTTCATGAGAACAGGATCATCCACAGAGACTTGAAACCAGAGAACATTGTGCTACAGCAAGGAGAGCAAAGGGTAAGCAGGAACCACATGTGTCTGCCTGCGTAGACAAGTAAGTGTAAGAGGAACATGCATGTGCTTCATGCAGTTACAGTGGTTCCTCTGCAAGAGCACTCGATCCAGGATAACAGCTAGCTGAGATCTGTGTCAGATGAACAATATTCTGTGTACAGCTGAGATGAAAGATTGTATTGGACTTTTGGTAAGACCTGATGTTTTGACTTTCAACTATTAAGGCAAGAACCAGACTGTACTGATTGACTAAAGATTTGAATTAGCAGTAATGTCTCCAGCTCTGCGTGTATCAAGCCAATGACAGCTTTACATACTTTACAATTTTAGGAATCTACAGGAGCCTTCCATTTCTTTGTTGACGCTTTCCTGTGTACCTTTGAATAACTGAACCTTTTCTTTCTCTGCTGTATGGTATGCTTTTAACAGGATTTCTCTCCAGTGTTCTTATTCTCTGTTGTGTTTTTCAGTTAATACACAAAATCATTGACCTTGGTTATGCTAAGGAGTTGGATCAGGGTAGCCTATGCACATCCTTTGTTGGGACTCTACAGTACTTGGTAAGGAAGGAATTCAACTAGAAGAGCAGCTACTGCTTTGCAGTGGGATAGAGTTGTTACCAGGCTTTGGTCTGGGATGAAGTACTTGTCCTGGTATGGGGTGCGTTTGGGGTGCTGCAGCTAGCAAAGGTGACTGGTTTTTTTGCTGACAATGGGTTTTCACAGTGTCTGCTAGCTATGTCTGTTAAAATAAGAAGCAGGAGTGCCAATAACTTCTGCCGTTCGCTGTTCAGCACTGTCTTTGATCTGTTGTATAAACGCTAATGAGCTCTTAAGGAATAGAGAGAGCTAAGAGATTGGTGGCTTTGTCTCGTGTGTGTGTGTGTGTGTGTAAACTGTCTCAGGCTCCAGAGCTGCTGGAACAGCAGAAGTATACAGTGACGGTGGATTACTGGAGCTTTGGCACGCTGGCCTTTGAGTGCATTACTGGCTTCCGACCGTTCCTACCCAACTGGCAGCCAGTGCAATGGTGAGTGAGAAGGTGATAAGAACAGCACATTCAATGCGACTGTCCTGTTTACAGGAAGTAGAAGTGTGATCTCTTGACTCTTAGGGTAATATCGCTATGTTCCTTGCCCTTAGGGAGATTGACTCCCTTCACAGGAGTTTGACCTACCCGAGCAAGTTCAGCATTCCTGATACTTGCTCTTTGGGATCAGGACTGACTCCTGCAGGGCAGGTAGCAGAAACCAAAGCAGCATCTGTATTACATTTGTCAAGAGTAGCTTTAAGAGCTTACTAACACACAGGCTGGGAATTATTTCACCATTGTACTTGCTTGAATTCATTAGGCATACAAAAGTGCGACAGAAGAGTGAGCTGGATATTGTCGTTTCAGAAGACTTATGTGGAGAAGTCAAATTTTCTAGCAGATTACCCTGCCCAAACAATCTAAACAGGTGAGGACTGGAAATCGGTTATGTCACACCAGAAACTGTTTCTTCTGCAAAAGGACCAGGTTTATATTATAAGCCTTACTATGTTAATCTGGGAATAAATGGAGTGTATGACACAAACAATGCTTGTGCCCCTTGTCAGACTTGCATAGCTGTGAGTCTCTGTTTCTGCCTTCTAAACACCTCATTTGTGGTCAGGGCGAGTGGGGAGGTCATCAGTCCTCCTGCAGAGACCTGGTCATATGGTGACTGCAAATGCACTTTTACCTCTTCTGATCCCCTTCTTGTTTTGGTCCTTCAGTGTTTTGGCTGAGAGGCTGGAGAAATGGCTGCAACTTATGTTAATGTGGCACCCACGGCAGAGAGGTACAGATCCGACATACGGACCCAATGGGTGTTTCAAAGCTTTGGATGACATTTTGAACTTGAAGGTGAGCAATGGGTCTGTATTGCACTGAAAAGTTTTCCAGAGAACAGTTGACTGTAGCCCATGAGAGAAGAGCCAGGAGTCATAGACCTAGGAGGAGGCACAGCACAAAATCTCATTTAACTGTCTCCCGACGGTTAGTGACAGGTGCTTTCCTCCTGCTTATTTGAGGGCAAATACTCCCTGAGCTTGTTGGGAGTAGCAGATAGCTTCTGTGTGCGCTTGGTTCCATATTCTGGTACAGGATTTTGCAGCTGAAGCCGTTTATTTGCCATCTGGCCTGTCTTCCAGTTGATGGAGAACAAGGACTTTGGCATAATGTTATGAAGTAGCTGCGAAGTGATTTCTTGAGCTCTGCAAGTGCTTTGAACAGCTTATCGGTGACCAGTATCTCAGTCCTGGGATCTCTACTCAAACATGACCAATGTATCTTCAACCCTTCTCACATCACGCTACTCTTCTTGTAGTTGCTTCATGTTTTGAACATGGTTACGGGAACTGTACACACATACCCTGTGACAGAGGAGGAGACACTGCAGACTGTGAAGGCCAGGATCGAGTCAGATACAGGAATCCCAGAACAGGACCAGGAGCTGCTGCAGGAAGCTGGACTTGCATTGTTTTCTCAGAAGTTGGCCACTAAACATATAGCTGATAGCAAGGTGAGTCTGGGATACTCCCTTCCTGTCGAGTGAATCAGCAGGCACTGCTTTCACTCCCTGCTGTTCTGCCAGGCTTTTGTCATAGTAACCATACTGACCTAACAGCCCTTGCAGAATAGGCACCCTATTGCCTTTGGTGTTCAGCCTTTGGCTGAGAAGGAACATTCTGCTTATGGTGTTACCGAAGCTTGCTTTTTCTGAGAACCTAGTTGGGTCTTTTGTCTCCTGCAGGTGAATGATACTGCAGCTGCAGACACAGACCTCCTCTTTCTCTTCGATAACCAGAAAGTTTCCTATGAGGCTCAGGTTGCTTTGCGTCCTCATCCGGAAAGTGTTGACTGCATCCGTAAGGACTTTCACTAGCACGAATGTGAGAGGTTGTCTGCGTTGAGAGGGCTGCCTGTGTTCTGTGGTCTGTATCATGTACAAAGAGTAGAGAGAGCTTTGGCATATTGGGACTGAAGAAGCAATACAATGGACTGGCATAGCATTCAATTTTTCAAAATAACTGAGGAAAGGAGGTGTTTGATATGCTGGGGAAGCTGCGTAGGGGTTAGCTAACTATAGGCTTTGCAAGAGGTAACATGCCCCTCAAAAGTGATGTTTTGGTTTGTTTTGTCACTTGGTAATGCTACTTTTGAGGCTTCATGCTGATACATATGTTTTTCTCCCCACCCCCCGCCCTCTGTTTGCAGTTCAGGATCCAAAGAAGAATCTCCACTTTTTCCAGTTGCGGAAAGTGTGGGGTCAGATCTGGCACACAATCCGGATGCTGAAAGAGGACTGTAACAGACTTCAGCAGGGACAGCGAGCAGCCATGTACGGTGGCAGTTTCTCTAGAATACTTGTCTCTGCCTTTGCTCCCTGGTGAAAGGGAAAGGTCAGGAATGGGACCCTGTTGGAATGGGGAAGCCCATGAGTGGAGCCATTAACGATTAATGAAAAGCCGAGAGTTCTGTCCTCTGACACAACTGCTTTTGTGCTCACTGCTACTCTCTGAAGTATCCACTTTTGATAAAAGTGGAAGTTTGTGGGTTTAGTTTGGGAGGGTAACAGGACCTTCTTATCCATGCAGGATGAATCTGTTGCGTTACAATAGTACCCTCTCGAAGATGAAGAATTCTATGGCCTCCCTTTCCCAGCAGCTGAAAGCAAAGCTGGACTTCTTTAAAACAAGCATCCAAATCGATCTGGAGAAGTATAAAGAGCAGATTGAATTTGGAATTAGTGAGTATAGCATCTGGCAAACAGAAGCCTCTTTATGCCTCTTATCCCCACTCTTATCTTTTCCTGTGTAAACCTGAGAAGAGCACTCACTCTTCTTTCATTCCTGTAGCTTCCGAGAAGCTGCTGTTTGCCTGGAAAGAGATGGAGCAAGCTGTGGAGCTTTGTGGGCGGGTATGTTTCTCAATCTAACTGCTTATCCTAAGAAAAAGAGGCTTGGGTTGTTTTTTTTTTTTCTCTTCCTCCCTTCCTTTTTCCTTTTTTCCCCCCTCCTTTTCTTTTTCCTTTTTTCTTCATTCTCCTCCCTTAAATAGAAACTTCTTGTGTATGGGCTGATGCCAGATGTCACATTGCCTTGGTTTGCGTGGCACCATTTTTGTCCATTGCCAGTACTTCATGAAGTTCACCGTGTTTGTAACGCTTAGGGAAAAAAGTAGGACCCTGGGGAACGTGAAAGGAGATTTTGCAGTGGTTGCACTCATTAGTCCTGCTAATCCAGTTCCGGAGCCAGGATAGCTGAAAAGAGGATATGGAGCATAGGTTAAACTGAACAGAAAGAGAACCATTAGATGATGGAACACAAGAATTTTAAGCATGAGTCTTGAATCTTGAAAAGGCAACAATTTCCCATTCTTGGTGCACATTCTGCACCTGCTCCCAGTAAGGTATTCAGCCTTCTGACACAAGACAGCGTAATCCCTGTAAGTAGAGCCAAGGACCGTCGCTCCCAGATGAGGAGCGAAAGGTGACTAGTAGATATTTTATTCTTTTCCAGCACTTGGTCCTCCTCTGTTGGGAGGAGGCAGAGAGCAGAACAACTGTCTAACAAGTGGCAAAGTCTGCATGTGAACGAGTTCAAGTGAAAAGCAGAATTTGGGGCACCAGGAGTGGATGTGGTTGTGTGCTGAGGGAAAAGGGGAAAAGCAGTGATAACCTGGAACTAGCAGTACATTTACTACAAAGTCTGACCATTCAGTGGCTCTCTGTTGCAGGCTGAATTTTTTTGTCAAAAAATTCTTGGAATTTGTTTTATCCCAGAGCACCAAGCTAATTTCCTTGAATTGAAATTACTCATTCTCATTTGTGTTTGTCCAAGGCTGCCATTTGCATCTTGATGACATGTTTAGAAACGTGAATGAGAAAGGAAGAGCCAGTGTGAGCAGCAGTGTCTCTTAGTATGAGATTGTCCCATTGCTTATGTTCTGCCCCGCTTTCAGGAGGATGATGTGGATCAGCTAGTGAAGAGGATGATGGCTCTGCAGACAGACATTGTGGACCTGCAGAGAAGCCCGCTAGGTCGAAAACAAGGAGGAACACTGGAGGATTTGTGAGTTGAACTACCTTGAACTTCAGATGCAGGAGTATTGCTAGCTAAGCTTATTCACTGCAGGACAATAAAAGTGATATCTCTTCAGCCCAAATTATGGGGGACTGCAAGGACTTTGACACTAAAAGACAGTTTTTGACTCCTTACCTGTCATTGGTCTGAAATGGCAGACTGGTATAGGAAAGGTTTGAGTTCTTGAACTACTTATTTGCCTTTTTCTTCTAGAGAAGAACAAGCCAGAGAACTGTACCGGAGATTGAGAGAGAAGCCAAGAGGTAAAAGACATGTTAGCTCAAGGTCAGCTTGCTTTGTGTGGATACTTGGAGATCCAATGATGACCACTGAGAAAACTCGGATGCTAGCTGCACATGGACTCTACTAGACTCGCCTTTTATTGGAGAGGGGAGTCAGGGAATCAGTTTTAAACTAGCTAGCCTTGCTTTCTTGGAGCCTTCGGAGCTCTTGAAACTCCTCTGGAGCTCTTCTCAGAGCAAGCTGTTGCTGTGAGCATATGCTGCTGCATCTCTGTAGGAAGGATGAAAGACATAGCTGTTCCTCTGAGCAGCTATACAGCCCCAAAGCATTAGACCCATCCTACCAACTCTGCTTTCCAGTTCTCATCATTTTGAAGAAGGTGGCTAAAATCCAGTGTAATTCATCCCACTCAAATTTGCATGCCCTGAACTTGGGATGTTTTGGGATTGAAGCAGCAGTGGAAACAAGCCACTAAGAATCTTCTCTGTCCTATAGGACTGTTGTTCTGTGTAATACCCTGACTCTCATTCCAGATCAGAGGACAAGCGGTGACAGCCAAGAAATAGTACGACTGCTCCTACAGGCAATCCAGACCTTTGAAAAGAAAGTCCGAGTCATTTATGCTCAGCTCAGGTGAGCTTTGTAGAGTCAGCTTTTATTGAGGGTTGAGAGAAAGCATTTTCTCTTTGGGCAAGAGGTTTTGTTCAAGAGGTTTAAAAACCAGTGCGTACAGCTAATGAGATCTCGGAGTGTTACAGAAAATAAAAAACTTCAGAAAAGTTCCCCTACTGCAGTTGCCTATGTGTGATCTGATTATTTTTTTTAATAGTAAAACTGTAGTTTGCAAGCAGAAGGCTCTGGAATTGTTCCCCAGAGTGGAGAAAGTGATGAATCTGATGAATGAAGATGAGGAAACAGTTGTTAGGCTTCAGGAGAAGCGACAGAAAGAACTGTGGAACTTGCTGAAAATTGCTTGTGTAAGTAAAATAAAAACTCCAGTTTAACCTGAATGGTTTGTAAGACAGGTTACTGAAATAATTAATAGTAAATTTAGTATGTCCTATCATTCTTTTCTCTGTTGTTTTGAATTAATATTAAAGCCAGGTTCCAGGCTGTCTCATACTCCTGGCTGCTGGAAATTAGTGGAAATAATTGCAGTCTGAATCTTATGTGTTTTCTTCAGAGTAAAGTACGCGGTCCTGTTACTGGCAGTCCAGAGAGCATGAACACATCACGTCTTGGTAGCCCTGGTCAGCTGCTGCTGCAGGTCCCTTCTGGAACCTACAGTTTATCAGAATCTGTCAGGAAAAGGTGAGGCGAAGTCTGGAGTTCTGTAGCTGCTAATGCCAGCGCTACAAAGCTGGGGCTCCTGCTTTGTGAAATAATGACACACAGGCTTTCTCACATTGTATGCTTTGTGTTCAGCTTCTGTCGTCAGCAGTCTTTTTTCACCTAGTAGCTGGACTTCCTGGGGCTTGTGAATCTTCCTTTTGAAAAATGGAATAATGTATAGCTTCACTTCCCTCTGCCCCAATAATAAAGGGTTTGTTTTATCTGGAATGGTTGGGTTCATTTAAATTACACCGCCAACAGGAATTGTTGGAGCATTGTCATGTAGGGCAATAGTAGCTGAGCTGAGCTATATCATAAAGGAGAGACTGCTGTAACCAAGCACGTGTAGTTCTAGCTTGCCTAAATGGACTGAGTCACCAGTTGGAATGACAGACCTTGGTTTGTTTATTCATATGCTGCTTAATCCTTTACAGACTGGTCTGCAACTTTTTCTATAGCAAGAGTGACTCCACATAGTAAGAACCCAACTTGGAACACTTCCTTTCCCCTGTCCCAGTAAACTTGGGGATACCACCAACTTTCCCAGTTGTGATATGAATTAGTAGCTTATGAATTGAGTGGTAAAGGTTAATATTCTTCAATACTCTGCAGCATACCTGCCAGTATTTCTTAAAGGTAGAGGCAGCATCCCTTTAAACAAAACTGCCATGGAAAATAATTGTGTAATAATTGTTCCTTTCAGTGAGGAGCTACTGCTGGAATCGCAGAAACTCTGTAGCCAACTAGAAAATGTGATGCATGACACAATGAAGGATCAGGAGCAGAGCTTCATGGTAATGCATTTGATATTCTTCTATAAACTGACTGGGGAAGCTCATGGCTTCCAGCTTCTGCTTGTGTAACTCTGCCACCAATAAGTAATATGGCTAATGGCAATCTGCATATTAGTCTCTTGGACAAGGCAGAGAGTAGGAGTTGTGGGAGATAGAAAGCACCCGTTCCCCCACCTGATGTATTCCCTCCTTGCTGAGAATGCGGGCCACACACTGGGGACTTAACTTGTGCTGAACAATAAAGGACAGGGGAAGGTACTTGCCTGGTGTACAAAAATACCGCAAAACTGCACTCTTAAAATTGGGATGGTCTTGTGGTGGCAAATACATTGGTGGGCAGGGATGCTTATTTAATGAAGCAGAATATTGCAAAGAAAGTAAAAATATTACAGAAAATAAGTAGCTTAAGGGTTTCCTTTTCAGCAGTCACATGGGGTTCATCATGAAACTATACTGACCAACTTTGTCACAGTAAAATTATTAAATCTTTTAAATTACTTCCCCTTTATTCTGGAGAAATCTCAACTGTAAGCTAGCATTGAACTTCGTATTCCTAACTCTTTATTCTTTAGGCTCTCGATTGGAGCTGGCTGCAGCTTCAGGTCGAAGAAACAAACAGTCCAGAACAAACCCCAATGTAAAATCACTTTGGTTGCCTCTGAAGACATGTTACTTCAGGAAGCCAACTGCAAAAAGCTGCTGCCTCTGAGAAGGGAAGTTCAAGTGCCTCCTTCTACTGTCACCTACTGCTTATGTGATACACATGGCCTAGCTTTTAGAATCCACCTCTTGGACACTTTTTTCACATAGATACAGTAGGAAATGCCTGTTCTAATTGCTTGGAAAAAGTTCTTAATTGTGCCTTAAGACAGCACATACTCTTATTCTCTGTCCTGATGCATCTTCCCGTAGGCATCACACATGGTTGTTTTGCTGCCTTTTAGGCTTTCTAATGGACAACGTGTGCCATCAGCTTGCACAGTCACTGGTAACTGTCACCAGTAACTGTCACCTTCCTAATATACTTGAACTGTGAACTTAATTTCTTAACTTTGCTGATTTGCACTTTTTTTTTTCCCTTAAGTGTAACAGTTGTACTTTATACTTGTTTCCTGTATGGGAACGAAATTATCTAAACCATGTAAACTTTTGGTTTGCTCTTTTTGATACCCTCAATAACATTTTAATGAAAAAGCTGCTTTCACTGTGCAGGTCTCTAAAACATGAGAGGTATGTTATCCTAGAGAACACAGAGAAGGAAATCCTCAGTGTACACGTATAGTTTAACAAAGCAACAGATTATCTATTAACCATGCTTAAAGTTGCACAAAAAAAAAAAGCACAGCTGGAGGGAGCATAGCTTTTCTGAACCTGAGAGAAGAGACAAGACACACCACCATTATCTTCCAACTGTGGCCAATTTATTTCATTCTGATGTAACCCCAAATTTCCACTACAGCACAGAGACCACCATTTATAAAAGGTTGTGAAGTGTAGGACATGCAAGATGCAATACAATAATGGGGAGAGGTGGGATTTTCTTGGGTTTAGGAACAGATTTAAAAGCGAGGAAACCGAAGTGAAATGTGGCACAAACATCACAACTTCCATGCATGCCTTCAAGTATTTTCCTTTGATGTCCACCCTCTGGACTTCAGTGTTGGGTTAAAATGATTCTTTGGAAGAGTAGAAAGTTCACACTTCTTGAAATTTCAGAGTAATGTTAAGGCCAAAACACACTGGTTACACTTTTCCTTCATGTTCCAGAGCACCACCTGTTGTTTTACTTAAAGCTGCATTAAGCTTCCAGCTCAAATCCCAGCCCAACTTTGTGACCTCCAGCACTGAAATTCTTGCCATCAACCAAGCCCGAGAGGGTCAGCTTTACACCTAGGAAAGCAAGTAATGAGACTTCATACACGGATATCCCTCTACCATGCCCTCCCACAAGCACTTGAGCCTCACTAATGTCTCTCAGTTGCTATAGGAACTTCTGTAGGTACACATCCTTTACTTCTATGAACCCATGTAAGATTTCTAGATAATTTGTTTCTCTATTTTTTTCTAGAGGTGACAGTAAAATAACCCTATTTGCTGCTACCAGTTGGGACTTACGTACCATGTCGGAGGGCATGAGTGTAACCAATTCCAATCAGGCTGGCGTTATTCACTTTAGCCTACAGGGGAAAAAAAAAAAATCACAATATTTATACACTGTTTATAAGTATTCAGACAGAATTGTCCCAGTGCCCTGAGAAGGTGATTTATGCATTAGTTCTTTCAGCTACTTGTAGACTAACCTCTAGCAGAGGTGTATTCTGATCCTTTCCTTTTCTCCTCAAGCGGTTCCAGCTTAAGCTGTTACAGGCTTAAGTAATAGTTCCAATCTTTCCCTCAAATTGTGACCCATTATGCCTACATAAAATGCCACCCTGTTCTTCACTGCCCCCAGCACTGTCTTTTTATATCCTTTAATGGACTAGTTACTACAGTCTCTTAGTAGCCACTGAAGTCTGTTTTGTTCACACTCCCCTGTTCAGAAATTGCTTAGTCATGATTTTTTTTAATGAGCAATAAATATATGAATATGCAACCCCCTTTTTGCATTACTAAGTTTTGAGCTGTTTACAATAGTATTTCCCATCTTTCATTTTGGCGGAATTGTCCTGTAACTAATTCTTGAAGTGTAACAAACAGTTGCTACTTCAGTTCTTGGTGTTAGAATGTACACATAGTTACTGTTATTCACTGTCACTTCCATGTGGACATAAGTTTTGTCTCCTGAACTACTCTCTCTTGCTATTTAAACTTTTTTTTTTTTTTGGCCCTAACATCTCTGCAAGAATTTACAAGCATCAGTAACAACACTTATCTCAGGCCCTCAACAGACCTGCAAGGGTTAACTGATTGTTAGGAGAAGGCTGTAAGCTCTCCAGAAGTTCCACCATTTTACTAAAGTACAGTTTTACATTATGTGTTAGATTAGAATTAGAGAATTAAAAAGTATACTGCATCCTCTCACTACCTTTTGAAAACGTATTTTGCATAGGCTCTAAGCACACTAGTCAGACTAGTGACTATTTCACCATGGACAAAACAGTGCTTCAGATTTCTTTTTTCATTGTTTCACAAATATGAGAGGTCCCAATTTAAGTTTGAATCACAACAGCAGCCACAGTTTGCCGTTTACCATACTGTCTCAGTAACTGTTGAAAGCAATTACTTCATACCACAGATTTTCAGTATTTAAGGGAGCTTGAAATACTCATTCCTGTAACAAAATTCTTACCACAATGGAAGTCTTCTCATCCAGTTGGTACTTAGCAGCAATACCAAAACGTGTGTTGTTACTGCCAGCAGTCCATGCAAGATTGACTGATGTCTCAACCTTATTATTAACCTTCTGATAAATAGACCCACCAAACTCGGTGCCATCATTCCTGTTTGTAATAGATGCAAGTGTGTCAAGCCTTGCCTTGTTTAGTAAATAGTAACTCTTTAGATTAACCCCCACAATCATTTGATCGTTACCTCTTAAAATGAACCAAGAGCTCCAATACTTCCCTGGACCCGCTGCTCATCTACTTCCTAGCTGGAGCTGGTAGACTCCTGCTTGTGTTTTTTACTCAAAATGAAGTTTTGCTTGCAGAATGGCATAAGACTTTCCAACAGCTGAGACCTATTGTTTGAGGTTCTGACAAAAAAATCCCCAACTAGGTAACATGCTTGCTTGTCTGGAGTTAGGAAAGCAAGCCTACGATAACGCATAAAGGGGCAAATCCAGAAGGAGACTTAAGTTATGGGAACGATGAGACTGAAAACAAAGTTACTGCACTGCAGTGGTTTAAATACACCATCCTCAAAGACTCTTGGAGCATGTGAACACCAAGACTAGAGCTACGCTGCGATGACAGCTGGAAACACTCAAGCACAACGCAACACACACCTCTCTCCTCCACCTCGGGCATTTCTGAGCCAGAAGCTTTCTGTCTGGTGGGGAGTGGGGGAAGGTACAGTAGCTTAATTGAAGGCTCTTTTATCTAACACCAAAATAGAAGTTAAAATTTACAGATTCTAATTCCGAATTAACATTATAAAGTGCCTTTACACCACTGTCTTATATACACAAACACCAAAATTACCCTGAAACAAAGTCTCAAAAGACAGCCAAGAGTTGGAAAGTTGCCCCTGCTTTAGTTGTACTGAAGATGAAAACACCAAATATAAATTATTTCAAAACAAAACAGCATCCCCTTCCATCCACCCACCTTTCACCTAACTCAGTTAGTGCTCACTATTCATTTAGTTTGACTCCTCCAATAATGTTTTTCTAGGCTCAGATAACACTTACACATTAGTGTGCAGCTGAAAGTCTCCTGCCTTATATCCCAAGGCAAAGTTATTTTGTGAAAGCTTAGACTTGGCTGTATCAAAAGCCATCTGGTAGCCAGCAAGCCAGCCTTCGTAGCCCAACACTGCCCAGCCATAGATGGTTGGTCCAGAGAGATCAATGTCTATGTTGCAGCCTAGATTTACATATTCTCTTTTGTAGGAGGTCTTCAACTTTCCACTCTTCTTCCTGCAGAGAGAAACATGCCATTTTATCTGTATACAAGTATGTATTCTATGTAGTTTTAAATGACTGTAATGCCTACTCAAAACTTAACAGCTGCTGAAGAGGGCATGGGATATATTTACGTGGTGCCATGTTTTCCTCCACCATCTCAAACTCCTTAAAATCTTCCAAGAAGCAACAAAGACAAAAGCATTTCTGCTTAATGCTCTAAAAACCATCGAGTTTCAAATTTTTTTCTCCGCAAGTGAGTGCAATGTGTTATGGCATCATCAGTTTCTTTCAGGAGCATCCATGACATCCCTCACCAATAGCCGACCTTTCTGTCCTTCGGTGACTTTTTGTCTACTCAGTTCTCTCCACCATTCCTTCAGTTGTTTTCCTTCCTTCTTCACTGGTGGATACCAGTCTCCTCTATCAAAAACAAATTTCCTCATCCTCCGGACATCATCCACTTAGCCTTTTTCTGTCCCTCTGCAGGAGCCTATTCCTCTCTCTCCAATGCGTCCTTGTGCTCATTTTGCTATTAATTCAAACTTAACGTAACCAAGACAAAATTTTACCACCTCAATCCTCTCCCCAACCTCCCTTCTCTCCCACTGAATACACAGAACACTGTGCTGCCTGTCACTTGTACCCAGGCCTGGGGTCTCATTTTTTACTTAGCTTGTAATTCCTTACATCCAAGCAGTAGTTCAAACTCTGATTTTCCTGATAGGTTCTCCCCAACAATAAAGAAATACCAGTGATTATTTACAAAGCGGTCTCAAGCTTTGTGCATTATCCAGAATAAATGCTCCTCCTTTGCTCTACTGCCTATCAAAAATAAATACAAAATAATTGAGAAAGGCAGTGGAGTAGTGCTTTTTTTGTCTATCATAGTACCTATCCGGTTCTACCTCCTCATTCAGTTGTGCATAGACATCTGCCCAAAAGCATCAGGAAAACAAATAATTTTGCTTTGTGTTCTTAAGGCACTGAGTTGACAGCAGTAGGAGCGTCAACACTATGAGAAAGATGGTACAAGTGGTCCATGTGAGACCTAGCTGTTTAAGGGACGTGTTACAAAAACATAATACCTACTGCAGAAGAACAAAATTTGCCAAAAAGCTGAAGAATCATTTTTAGCAGACCTTGGTCCTTCTGAGCCTGGTGTTATCCATTGCCTTCAAAATATTCTACAGTGTCTGCGTAATAGGCTACGGTAAATTTTGAGTGTTTACACAATGACCAGATAAGCATTTCTAATTAAAAGTTACGGGAAATTCTACCACTTCTTAGATAAGGGTAACGGAAAATATTTACCCTGTGTTTGGTACAAATGTAGTGTCAAGAGCCACCTTCAATCCTTCAGCCAACTGCAAAGAAAAATAGAGATGTCTGCTCAGAACTCTGCTGAAACATGATTT